TCCGCCCTGCAGGCTTATGGTTCCAGACGCCAGCGCTCCTCTGGGAGGCTGTGGAACCTTTAGAGCCAGTTGGAGGAAGCAGAATGCTAGGAGTGGGCCTTTAAAGGTGACACCTGGCCACACATCCTGTCCTGCTCAGTCTCCGGCACAAGCTAACATCAAACTTAGCTGCAGTGCCAGCCTCCCCCAGGGACAAGTCCAAATCCTCTGAACCCATAAGCTAAAATCAACCTTCCCTTGAGCTCCTTCCGCAGAGCAGTGTCTCAGCAATGGGGAAGCCAGACAGCAAGTTACACCCTCCATCATGGGACAAGAGCTGGCCTCACAGAACAGCCTTGGGTTGAGTTTTACTTTTCTGTGAGGATGCAGGGTCTTAACCCTCCTGCCTCCACCTCCTGAGTGCTGAATTACAGGTATGCCGAGGTGCTGGGGACAGAACCCAGGGCCTCATCCATGCTAGGGTCTTGCTACACAGCCCAGGCTGGCCTTGAACACGCTATGGAGCTCGGGCTGGCTGTGCAGTCTCAAGCCTCCCAGGTGCTGGATTACCATGTGCTCCTCCAGCAGAGGTCCCTCCAAGAGCAGAACCACCCTCATATGAAGACAAGGGGGACACAACCTTGAGGTTGCTGCATGGGGGGAATGAACATAAATCCCCAGGGAGATGGAGTGGGAACCGGTCTCTTGTGGGGTTCTGAAGGGTCCCTGCTCACAGAACCCTTCCTTCATCTACCCCAGCCATCCCTGTCATAAATCCTTAGGAAGCCATTCAAACATGAGCCAGACAGATGACAACAGCCACCCGGGACTGTTTGCACCACAGAGAGCAGGAAGCAGCTAATGGTGGCTGTTTGGGGAACAGTTTAATCAACAGCCACACACACAGCTGGGGCCACAGCGATCACAGCGCCTGTGGCCAGTTCCTGAAAAATATCGTATCCCTGCACTGAAGCACCAACAAGCCGTGTGCAACAGCTGTCATGCAGCCAGAGAAAGCGGGTGTTTTCAAAACGTGCATGCAGACCCCAAGAGTGCGCGTTCATAAATAGAAAGCGGGGCGTTTTCAAAATGTGCATGCAGACCCCAAGAGCGCACATTCATAGACAGACAGGACTAACAGTGGGGCCCAGAGTCCTCTCCTGGTGCTGCATTCAGGGTGGGATGTCTGGGGACAGAGAGGACTGGGCAGGGGCTCATGGTGGGACTGCGGGGTTGATTTTCTGGGGCACCAAGGAATGGGTCAAAGAGCCCTGAATGCCATAAAAGGCCTGCGGCATGCTGGGCAGGCAGAGGTCATACCTGGCTGCCAGCACTGCCTCTAGGCCACATCCTTGGCAAGGAGCCCAAGAGTGAGGATGCACTGGGGGCCGGGGGTAAAGGCACAGAGGCTGGAGAGAGTTTGGCATGTTCCTAGACTACACGGTGGGGCGGGTCGGGGGCACACAGGGACACTGAGGGACACAGCAGGGCACAGCTGCCCAGGCTGGGATTCCAGCACCAGGGCAAGGGGAGCCAGTGGGCCCGAGGGGGCTGCAAGGAGGCACTCTATCTGCCAGCCCTCCACCGACAGGAACAAAGGCTGGGGAGAAAGGCTCCTGGGGAGAGACAGCCTATCACATTCAGGATCGGGCAGGGAGGGACAGTAGCTCCTTAGCCAAGGTTTCTGGGTGGCACAGCTGCTCACCGGCCACCACCCCCGCCGCCTCCACTGCCGCCGCCGCCGCCACTGCCGCCCTGGCCCCCAGCATCTGGCGCTCCCGACATCATAAGGAACAGCACAACCGGAATGATGTACATCCACTGCGGGTGTGACAGATGGACAGAAAGGCAGAGAGGTGAGCACAGCGGTTCTGCCCAGGGCGAACTGGCGAGAGGGGCCGAGGAGGGGAGGGGCCGGGTTCCCTACATCACTACAGGCAAGGCCGGGGCACGGGTGGGGACAGGAGGACGTGGGCAGGGCACGGCAGGCAGGGGTCTGGGTCCTCACTCAGGCCTCCGTTGGCGCCGGCGCAGGCCCCGGGGCAGCAGGACGCAGGGCTGTGAGCAACACGGCCCCCCCCAGGATGAGGTGCCACTGGGGAGGGAGGGAGGCAGGTCAGCGGCTGGGACCTGGGGAGGGTGGGCCCTGGAGCAAGGGCAACCAAGGCCCCAGGGAAGGTGCTCGGCTCAGTGGGGCTCTGCCATCACCAGCCTCTGATCCTGGGCACCCTCCCACCTCGCCTGGAGCCACACTGGCCTTGCTGGGCCGTTACCTTGCCTGGCCTGTGCCTGACACAGGTCTCCAGCCTCAAGGGACAGAGGACTGGCCTCCTCCAGGGAGCTCACCCCTCCACACCCCAGCCCACTCAGGAGTGTGGGCAGCTCTGATCTGCTCCTGCCGGCGGGCAGCCCTCCCAGCTCCTCCACACTGCCATCTGTGCCTCTGTGCCCACATAGGGCCACCTGCCTCCTGGCCCCAGGGCCTCCTACAAGTCCTGGCCCTTCCAAGCCTCCCCTCGCTCCTCTGAGCTGTCCTCTCCCTGCCTGTCCCTCCTATGTGTCAGCCCGGCAGCCTACCTACCTGCCCAAGCCCTCCACACTGCTCTTCTGGCAGCAGGCCTTGGATGCCTGTGCCCCAGCCCAGGCAGTTTGGGTCCCGAGAGCCACCCAGCCCGGGATGTTCAGGGGTCCACAGCCTTAGCCTCCCCCACAGCGGGGAGGGCCAGAGAGCCGCACTCACGTATTTGGCGAAGAAGGACTTTTGCTCCTGGGGGTTTTTGGCCTTCTGGGCCTGCTCCATCTCTAGGCGCTCAATGAAGGCGGCAGTCTCAGGGCTAAGTGTGCGGAGGGAAGGGGCTGGGTGAGGGCTAGAGACCCAGGGACCCAAGACAACTAGCAACCCCAGCCTCCCTGCGGCGCTCACCCTGGGGCTGTGCCTGGTGGCCGCAGCTGCACAGAGGTGTTAAACAGCTCCAAGTCCACATCCTCTACTTCGTGGCCCTGACAGCCCCCTGGGTGCGTCACCACAGACACACCCACCACGTTGCTGGCCACGTCCACATGCAGGGTCAGCTGGTCTGAGAGGTGGGACTCGACCAGGGAGCACTGTGGAAGAAGGGAGGTCAGAGGGAGGTGCCCTCTGTCCCTCCCCCACAGGACTTCCAGGCATCTGCCAGAGCCCTCCCTCAGGTCCCTAAGGCCCTTGTCACTCTCCGCAGGAGTCCCAGCTGAATGGTGTCTGTTGGTGGTGATTCCCAGCAAGGGGCTCCAAAAGGCTGGGGAACTGACACAATAAGTTGGGGAAGAAACAAGGGGGACAGTCCTCATCACTGACTTACCGCAGGGACAAAGGAAGACACATAGCCACTGACTTCTGAACCATCAAGAGCCCCGGGCCGCCTCAGGACCCGGACCCTGTAGAGGCCATTGAGGGCAGCCACATCCTGCAGGGTACATAGAGGCCTATGAGCTGGACCCGCCAGCCTGCCAGCCTGGTGGAAAGAGTGCCTTCCCACCCTCATTTTCCCAGCACCCCATGTCTAATGGACAACAGGAGTCCACCCAGGACTCTCCCCATGGGGCAGCCTGGCTGCCAGGAGAGGCCAGGAGTGCTGGGCTGCCCCACCTGGGGAAGAAGCCAGGAGCACACTGCCACACCAGGAACAGCATCACCCCAAGGCACGTCCCAAGCCTTGGTCCAGACACACCTGGTCCCATGCACACACCTAGATGCCCCAGTGCCAAAAGCAAAAGCCGCTGGGGACCCCTAGACAGAGAATCAACCCATGGGGGCCAGAAAGAGATGCAGGTGGTGGGCCTCAAGCTGCCCTTTTGCACAGGGCAGCACCCTCAGGAACAGGGCCACCAGCAAAGCTGGGTTCCCTGCCTGGTTCACATGGAGCTGAAGTGCAACTAGATGGTACCAGCTTCGGGGCAGGAGGAAGGACAGCCCCAGTCTGGGAGGAGGCCCTGGCTTTCTGACAGTTACTCTAGGCTCTCTCCGGCAACCACCACTGGGGAGGTGAGGCACCCACCCCATGGGGAAGAGCAGCCCCGAGCCAGGCACCAAGGTGGCATTCAGCCCATGGTGGCCACGTGGGGTGAAGGCAGCAGTGGGGCTGGGTCCTGCACAGGCATGTAGAGCAGGGTGCGGGGGGCCACCTCACCCGTAGCCGACCCCGCTCTTCCTCGCTGAGCTGCCGCTGTGACAGGGACAACGTGCCATCCTGCTGGTTCCAGAGCAGCAAGCCGCGCTTCCAGAAGTGGGCGCTGTCATCTGCGGGAAGCCAGGCTCAGCGACCACCCCATGTCACACTTCAATCAGACCTGCCTTCCAGCCTGGCCCGGCCCCATTCCAGTGGGGGCGGCTTCTTCACCCAGCCTGCATCCTGGTGCTGCTGCCTCCAAGGGCAGCCCCAGGGGCCCCCACACCTGTTATGGCCTTACTAGGGCCATGGGACAGGTCCAGAACCTCTCCAGGCAGACTAAGGTCTCACTGTCACAAGTGTCCGACTCCACTAAGAGGCCCTTGGTACTGCCGAGCCTGGGCTGCTACCCAAGCCCACTTCCTAGTCAACAACGTGGGCACTGTGCACATCCACAGCCTTGTGACTGAGGACACAGTTCACACCAGGCCTCATATGACTGAGGATATTCTAGGTAGCTAAGGTAGGACATACATCAAATGTTAGTGAAGTTGAGCGTGCTGGCGCCCACCTTTAATCTCAGCACTCAGGAGGCAGAGGCAGGTGAGCCTCTGGGAGTTCAAGGCTAGCCTGGTCTACACTGGGAGTTCCAGGACAGCCAGGGCTACATGGGGAAACCTGGTCTCGAAAAAAATGTCACACAGGCTGGAGAGATGGCCCAGTGGTTAAGAGCACTGGTAAAAAGGAGGTAATTATACATCACTTTTAATACATACATAGATGCATATGTGTACTCACCTGTGTACATACGCATAGGTGCATGTGTGCCTATTTGTATATACATTGTGTGTACACGTATATGATCTGTGTATACATTGTGCATATATGCTGTGCATATGTGCACATACGTACACATGGTATACGTTTATGTGTATGCATCTATATGTATACACATGTGTGCACAAATGTGTACATGGATGTACATGTGTGCAAGCATTATCTGTAAACCTAGGTATACATGTATATGCACTTGTGTGCATGTGCGTATGTACATGCGTATATATAGGTATGTATATGTATGTATAATTTTCATTAACAGGGATGCAACCCAGGCCCTCAGGAATGCCAAGTAAGTGCTCTACCACTGACCTACACCCTGAAGCCAAGCCTGGGGTATTTAAAACCATCATTCTCGGGGCTGGAGAGATGGCTCAGCGGTTAAGAGCACTGGCTTTGCTCTTGCAGAGGACCTGGGTTCAATTCCCAGCACCCACATGGTGGCTACGAACCGTCCTTAACTCCAGTTCCAGGAGAAATCTGAAGCCCTCTTCTGACCTCTGCAGCACTGCATGACACAGGTGCACTCACATACATGCAGGCAATACACTCATATACATAAAATAAAAATAATAAAGAAAATATTGTTTTTAAAAACTGACTTCTGTCCTGGAATGGCAGGACTCACTGGTGCCAGTGTATACGGTGGAATACGTGCCAGACTCACCAATCTCAAAGGAATGCTCCAGCAGCAGTCCCACAGTGCCACAGCCCTCGCCTTCACGGCCATCAGCCCCAGTCTGCAAGAGAGACAAGGGCTCCAGGTGAGGACCACTCAAGCTTTGGGCAGGGCAGGACACAGAGACCCCAGGACAGTCTGATGACTGGAGGGATGAGCTATGTCCCTCTCCAATCACCAATGCTTGCCCGGACTCCACTGGGACCGCACACTCATGAATATTCAGACTATTTCCGTAGGCCCAAGGAACACTCTACAAATACAAATATGGTTAAGCATTGCCCTGTGTCCAAGGCAACTATCCCCAGGTCACTATCTTTTCTTCTTTTTTTTTTTTTTGTCTTTTTGAGACAGGGTCTCCCTGTAGCCCCAGCTGACCTGGAATGCACTATGTAGACCAGGCTGGCCTTGAAGTCACAGAGATCCACCGGCCTCTGCCTCCCAAGTGCTGGGACTACAGGCATGTGCCACCCACCATGCCTGGCTTCTTCTTTTTGAGACAGTCTCAGTAACGAATGCAGGCTGGTCCTGAGCTCCTGACCCCACTGCCTCCATCAGGCATGCAGCACCATGCTCTGTTCCCCAGGTCTCTTCCAGCCTTTCATTCATGACCACACAGGCACCGGCTTCCTGTTCATGTCACCATCAAATGGCCTCACTTCCACCTTAACCATCCCAGTTGTCAGGAGTTCTTCTATCCAACATATTTTAGGTCATATACTTTCTTTTTATTTTTGGGAAAAGGTCTTACTAAGACACCCCATTTTCAAACCTCACCCTCCTGAGTGCTGGGGGTGGATATCTCCACCACCACACCAGCTTTATTATGCTTTTCAAACAGTCTCAGGTAGCCCAGGCTGACCTTAAATTCCTGATCCTCCTGCCTCGGCCTCCTTGGCGCTGGGATGACAGGACTGCAGCACCACGCCCGACCTTCGGCCTTTCTTCTCTAAGCCTCAAGCTTCTCCTACCGTGCGCCTGCTTCCTCATGCGTATTCGGTAACGCGACTTCCCCTCTTTATTTCTTCATTTCTTTAATATTTTATTATTTTATGTGTTTGAGTGTATTGCCTGCATGTATGTAAATGCACCTGTCTCGTGCAATGCTCGCGGAGGTCAGAAGGCGTGGGATCCCTGGAACTGGAGTTGCAGACGGCTGTTAGCCGCCATGTGGATGCTGGGATTCGAACCCGAGTCCCCTGCAAGAGCAGCCAGTGCTCTAACCGCTGGGCCCTCGCTCCAGTCCCAATTTTGCTTTGCATGTCTAAAGACAGAGTCTCACGTAGCTCAGGCTGGCCTGATCCTCCTACCTCAGCGTCCCGGGACCTGGGAGGACAGGTGTGCGCCTCCATGCTCACCACGCCCCCTCGTACATATTCATGAAGTACCCCTCCAGCGCCTGCAACAGGCCGCCCTGCCCCGCCCCGGCCGTGAGCCAGTACTCACCCCGCGCGCGCCGGTTCCTGCTCGGCAGCCGCTGCCCCGGGCCCTACTGGGCGCCGCAGCCGCCAGCAGCAAGAGCACGAGCAGCCGCGTAGCCTCGGCG